GGGTTATTTATAAGGGAAGAATTTTTCTGACCTTTGCCTCATTATTCTACTATTTAGACATATTCTATAATATTTATGCAAATACACATTTTAATATGAGAAATTTGTGATATTATAGTTAATATACCATGAAGACATAAAATCCGATAAATAAAGCTTCTGTTTAAATGGGAATAATTTTAAATAAAGAAATAAATTCTTATCTACTTTTACTTTATCGTAAATTTTTAATATCCTTTTGGAAATTTTATTTATTTATTTTTTTTTAATCATGAGGTTCTGGTAAAATACGTGTATTACTGAATCTCAAAAACATGAAAAATTTACTGCTCGCAGTACCTCTACGATGCTACAGAACAGGATACAGATAACTTTCTCTAAATGGAATTTGGCAGTGATGTTTCGAAGCAAGAATGTATTCCGAATTTTGTGTAAGATATAAATATCCAGTGAATTGCTGTTCCATCTAGAATGAGACGAAAAACATTGAATATAATATTTATTTTCACCAACTTTTAGGCACGATTTATTCTTGCTCTGTTTATAGATTCTTTACCACCAAACAACTCAGAAAAATATTCAGTTGAGAAAGGAAGAAAAAAAAAATCTTTGGATTAGATCCAAACGAATAACAGCAAAATTCATCAAAACTTCTCTAATATGTCTGAGATTTTGACTGAGTTTCTCCCTCCTTCCCCTTCACCCCACTTTAACTGTCGTGTGTAATATCTTCTTTTGACTCGGTTTTTAGAGTAAAAATAGAAAGGATGCTTTAGAGATACAACACATTTTTTCCCAACTAACCCATAATCTTACGAGTTATTTATGTTCTCATGACCAACGTGTTTCTGAGTGAACAAAAATTGTTCATTAATTAAATTTTTGTCAGCATTGATTGCATAACAAACCAACTGAAATTACTAGACATGTTTAAAAGGTATACGTGCATAAATGTTTGCCTAAAATAAACTTTTAGGCGTAAAGTAGTGAAATTTTTTTTAGGGTTTATTTTGTTCAAGTTACACTTTTTTAATGAATACAATAAAATGTTTTTAATTAAATCGTACACTGCATGTATAGTTTTTTATTATTAAGCATGATTTTAAATCAGATGGTGTCATTTACCTTACTTATTAACCCATTTGCCCTAAAATCTGCCTCTTGAAATAAAATGTTTTTGCTTTACTTTAACGAAATTAAAAATTCACGGTGAAACAAATTCTGTTAAAATCTCTTAACTATATAGTATAAAAAAACAACAACTTGATTTTTGTAATAAAGCTGAAATTCACGGTATTTAAACCATTCATTTGGTTAGTTTTCGTTCACATAGTGACAGTTTACCAAAAATTTCGGATTTCAAAATTAAAGTTCTTATTACCGCACATTTAGTAACACATACGAAACTGAAATGTAAATTTAACCGTATAAATGGTTTTTATACCATGCTTTAAGGTATCATGCTGAAATTACCAAATTTACCACACTTATCAAATTTTAGTGCATATTACAAAACAAAATGTTTTGTTAATTTTACCATATCATTACCAAAGCACTTTGGTAAAAACTATCGTGTTTTTTAGTGTTTCTATAGGGTCAGTAACACGGTAAATGTTACCATTTTCTGGTAATTTTTACTATGCTCTTGTTCTCAGTGTAGAGTTAGACAGTTACTAATGCAGATACTAATGGTTACTAATGCAGAAAAATATTTTTATTTATTCATTTATTTCTTTTTTTTGCGGGTGCATACAAACTGATGTAAGTAAATAAGTTGGTTCCTCTTTTCTTTTTCATAAATAACAATAATTAAAATAAAAAATGGTCAAAAAGAAAATGTTTAACGTTATATTTTGAATTAAAAGAAACGTAAATAGTTAAATTTCATGACATTAGTCAGATAAGCCCACTTGTTAGGAAATGTTATGCAGCAAATATTTATTCAGCATATTAAGCAAAACGCAAATAATCTTTAAAATTAACTAACAATTGTGCAAAGGTAACCAATAAATTTTACCGAAAAAAAATTAAAGAAAAAATGTTGCTTTAACATTTAACAGCATTAAATAAAATATAAATATTAAGAAATATCTAAAGAAAAATGACGATCAAAAATGTGAAGTTTATTCAGTTACACGATAGAAAGTATTAAACAATATTTTCGTTTACTTCGTTTGAATGTAAATGGCACTCAATTGCAAAAGAGCTTCGTTAAATACAAATAAGATAAAAATAAAAAAAAAATCGTTTACTGAGAATTTAAGCACAGTTGCAGACAATTTTAAATTTTTAAGAACCTACCACACGACTAGAACGGTTTTCTTATTTGATCTATGTGACTATTTTTGCTTACTCATAAATTATTTATATTTTTGTAACCAGAAAGAATTAATAATTCATCTAGGAGGGTTAAAATTGACTGAATTATCTTTTGAAAATTATTTCTTTTGAAGAAACTGTCTCGAATTAAGTTTGTTCAGGAATTTTGTAAAGTGGTAAATTAAATTTCCAAAGTCATATTTCTTAATCTTTATTTTCTTCAGATAAAATCTTTAATGTGAAATTTTTGTTTAAATAATGAATAAAAAGAGGATACTTATAAAGTCAAACAAAATTATTTACTTTATTAAAAGTAAAAGATGAAATTAAATTATTAACTTTTATTTTAGATTATGACTGTACAATGGAAGCAAGCAGTTATATTGATTGCTTGTTTCCATTGTAATCCAAAGGTCTTGTTCTTCTAATAAGTACGTTTTAAATTTAATCATAAGTAAATACACGATGTTTTTTTTAGTAAGATGATTATGTGTTTTGCAAGTTTAATATTTTTTACAAAATTTTATTCAATTTAAACTGAAATTCCTTTTGTTAATGTTGACGATGTAGAGTAAGTAATTGATGATACGAATTATGACAATATTAAACATGCTCTGTCTCAGCTTCAAAGCAAATTTAAAATAAGAATAAACTGTCATTTATTTAGGCTCCAATTTTTAAATAAAAAATATTTATCATACTTTATTGATTTAAAGTACGATACAGCGCATTAGAAATAGCTGAAATCTTTATAAAAATAAAAATTAGTGAACAAATTATCAGAAATATAAGGTAAGTGTTTACACACACATATATATATGTGTGTGAGTATATATATAAACATAAAGAAGAAGAATAAAAGTAAATAGAAAAACTTTTAATGAGAAAACGTAAAGGTTTTCATCAGGACGCACCCTTTACGATAAATGCAATATTTCTGAACAAAGAATANATATATATATATATATATATATATATATATATATATATATCGCTAATTATCAGAAAATTTAATACCTAACTTACTCCATCGAATAATTTTCATCCAAATGCAAATAAAGTCGAACATGAAATTTAAAAGATTTTTACTTACCCATGAGGAAAAGACGAATGCCTCAGAACCTTTTGTAGAAGTCATAAAATGTTATTAACTTCTAATTTTTTCATCATCTAACATACTAATTTCAGTGGAATCCTATTTTTTTTAATGTTTTTTTTAAAATGATTTCGAAGAGAAATATTAATTTTCATTTTATGAATGTCTCGAATATTTAATAAAGTTATCAGTCAAAAAGATTATTGTACAAAATTAATCCGAAATGGAGTCTTAGAATCAGAATGAAGATATTTTTTCATTTATTATTACGTAGAGAATCATTATAAAGTAAAACAATTTCAATAACTCATTTTATCATGATGTTCATAGTCATTATTTTCTCAACTAATATTTTAACTATTCATTCCTGATTAGTGAGGTAAATATCATTTGTCCTTAGAACCGAATTAATGCAAACAAGTTTAAGTATATAGGTGAAAATTGTTTCCTATACATATTTTTTAATTTTGAATTTAGCCAATAATGTTCAGCTTTTTATTGTAACCGATTTGAGCGGTGATGTGGTGAGATAATCATTTGAAACAGGGGTCTCAAAACTTTAAGGCTGTAAATAATTTTATTAAAACGTAATGAATACGAAAATATCTGGAAATTGGTAGCATTAATCAAAGCAATAAAAGTTTCATTTTGGAAATAAAATATCTAAAATTGAAGAAAGTTTTTGAAATTTAATATAATTAATTCTCAAGTACAAAATCCCTACCTTATAATAATTTCTTCTGTAAAAAGATCATTAAATGCCCATAAACTAAAGGTCAAATGCACCCATAGTTTTACATGATTAATTAATCCATATTTAAATGAGGCTGTAATTACATATATCCTAATAGCTTCCAACATTCGAAGAGATTTCTTAAGAGTAAAAGAATTACAATGCGAATATTATTATCCTGAAATACAGAATTTTAATTTCATAAAAATTAAAAAAAAAAAGTATTTTATTGCTTTAAATGTATATTTACCAATAAATATATCATTGGAACTAACAGACTCTTGACCTAGTACAACTGCTTCTTGGTCATTTAGTGGTTAGCCAATATGGACACCTTTTCTACAATCTAATAAGGCTCTTGGGCAGCCTTAAGCAATTGTACCCACCCCTTATAGTCTGCCTCTCCTACTTTTTTATCTTCCTTTTCTTCTTTTTTTTCATCGTCCTGTTTGTTTTGAATGAAGTCGTAGGGACATTGATTTCAAGTTTTCTTTCAAGGAAGGTACGGAAGTTGGAGCAGACCTTGAACTTAAGAGAGAGCGGTTTGTTTAAATCGGGAAAAACGGAGGGATCTCCCTCAACCAAGGGGTGAGGGGGTGGCTGTTCTAGAAGAGGGAGTAAGTCAAAGAGGGGGAGCACTCACATTTTCCTTTCTTCCAGGCGAGAAAAATCGGTGGAAAATCGTAAGTAGCTTCTTTTTTTTTTTTTAGTTTTTGCACTCAATAAGGAACCGAAGGCTTTCCCGCCTTCATTGCTGAAGATTTAAATTTGAGAAGCTTTGGTTCTTTTCGAGATAACCAGAAATAAAATAGGAGGGGTTGGAGGTGTAGAATAGAGAGAAAATAGAATTACCGTTATCCAGAAGGCTTCCTAGTTGATCATGAGCGTCGAGGTGCAGCGGGTGAAGTTGCTTCCTACGAGACATCTTCCTAAAAGCTCGACCTCTGCAATGATAAAAATCCACAGTTGGTCAAATCAGTCCTTCATATGAAGCCAGCGCACGCGCGTTCTTTTCCCCCCGTTATGATTCTCAATCTATCCACCCCCGACCGATTATCATAAGCGAACCGCCCCATCTTTCGACCACGGCAACCACCGCTTCTATCCTCGGCTAGATACCGATGCCTGGCCGCCCATCCGCTAGCCGGAGGATGAAAGAATAGTCCGTAGATGGGCGGTTCATTTCAGCCGAGGGTCTTTCTACTCTTGCCCGCTAAAGCTTTTTCATCCAGCGTTCATAAAGCATAGGTCTCCTTTATACAGCTGCTTAGTTTCCAGTTTACTATATTCGCTGTTTTTAATCGATGTGATTTCATCTATTGCATAAGAAAACGACCTTAAAAAATTACGCGAGTTTTTTCCTTTTGACAAAAAATTTACGTTTCGAGCGAGCATTTAGTAAAATTGAGGAATTTGCTATTTTTTAGGATATGGATTTCGTCTAAAGCATTAGGCTTAGTTGATTAATTGATTAGGAAATACACTATGAAAAAGGAATGTGAATATTCAGTCATTGCCAAGAATTAAGCTCGAAAAACTTGATTTACAAGCGATTACACAAATCTCTGTACCATCCCCTCTTTTAGTGCGGATTCTTTTTAAGTCAAATAAAAAAATTTTCAAGGACAACCAGAATGCAGTGAAATGACACACGAGTGACGAACAGTTTCATCAAAATCACGCTTTTTGTTAAAAATCATGTTTTTCTTGACGAAATGACGAGTTTTATTTCTAAAAATGTGGAAGCGTGTCGGGTGCGCTTTGATTCGTTGAACTATGTTTAATTTAAATTTCGTAGAACCCTGCTTAATCGAAGGATATTATTAAATAATTTTTCCTTCTTTGCATTTCAAAGAATAATAGAGAGAAAGATTTATTTAATCAAAAATGCTTTATCAGAGTTAATTGGCATTACTTCTTCAAAACGCAGCATGCCTCTACCAGTATATACCTATAGAACCTATATAAGTTGACCACTTGGGGGCGGGGAACATTACTTTATAGGTCAACTTAGATAGTACGTTGGCTAAAAGAGAGGGGGTTAGTCATTGCTCCTTATCATTTCTTATATTATTGCATTTAATAGTCCTTGCAGACAAATATGATTTGTTTCAGCGGTCAACATATAAGATAAATATGTGGTAAAGTTACAAATATTTTGCTCCCTTTTACAATAGAGGATAAATGCAGTTCTTGATAATATAAGTCCACTTAGATAGATTCTTAGATAGATTCAACTTAACATATTGCGAAAAATAAATAAATTAGAATGGGTCTAAATTTGCAGCTATGATGGCGCATAATTTGTAGGAAATATATTTTACCATTTTAAATTAATATCTATAATGTGAGAGAAGAATACTGAAGGGTGCGAAAATTGAGCAGGAACAGAACTCAAATTTATACTTCATGATGTTATCATGCATAATCTTTTTCATTTCGGAGTTTAGCTATATGTATTAATAACTTTATAATAATTCTAACATGGTATGAGCTTTTTATTGCTTTTTTATTTACTAAAAATTTAATTTTACAGAAAATGTTCATAAATACAAACGGCATGATAAGCTTTTTTTTTTCTTTCGCAAAAGTGGGTCAATAGAAACTCGTTATTTATAAGGTTATTAAAATTTTCAATTCGAGCTAAGATAAAAATTGTAGATCAAAACTAAGGTGAATTTTGTAAATAGTTAATTGACTTATTTACAGTGTGACGATTCTCACCCATGGTTTTAGGTGGTCAAAAATGGCGGCATTGCAGTTAAGATCTCTCTTTTAATAGTTTTTCTGTGTTTTACGTAAACGCTTGACCCTTATATTTCAGAAAAAGCATTTGAGACAGCATTTTTGTATTTGATAGTGCAAAAAAAACTTAGACAACCAGAAAACGAAGAATATTTATAGCAAACATTATGCTCTGTGTCATTGAAAACTAAATGTAATAAGTCTTGAAATTAAACATCAAACTTTTTGTTATAGCAATAAAATAATATTATATCCTATTATAAGAGAAAATGTTATAAATAACATAACTTTACGGTTTATATCTAAATATGTAAAACTGAGCATTTTCACCTCTTCAACAAAATATTATTTCAATTGAAGCATTTTTAAGACATTTTCTCAATTTTCACGGCTTATGGCTCGCAAACGTCTAATTTGTAACACGGTTATTTCGATTGAATCTGACTCGGAAGACAAGACAGCTTCTTTTTAAAGAAGCAGAACAAATGTTTGATTGCGAAGGTTGCGTTGCGTGAAATCAACCAGCAATAGTGTAAATAAAAGACAAGCCTTGAAAACCTGATCTTATTGATCTTCAATTATCAGAAAATCAATTAAACATTTTTCATCATGATTGGAAAGTATTGTCGTTTATTTTCCTTTTCCGATGTTGCGCGGATTTTACAAAAGATAATAACTTATATTTTTAATGTCTATAATCCTTACATATATGTGAGTATTAATATACAATTGTTATTAATAAAACGTTATTTATTTCCACAACTTTCATCAAAAATTTTTAAAAAGCAATATATTTTTAATTTTCATCGAAAAAACATTTTAATTATTATACTTTTAATAAAAATTTTAACTTCAAAAATTTAAATGTTAAAGTGTAAAAACATCTCTTATTATTTCATTCAAAGAAATAGAGAAAAAAAAAACATATACTTAATTTATATATGCTGAAAATGTGCATATTTCAACACCCCGAAATTTGTTTTTGAAAAACAGTAAATTTTTAGTCTTCATCTGAAAAGTTTTAAATTATTATATTTTTTATTAAAAATTTTAATTTCTAAATTTTAAATATTAAAATGTAAAAATATTTCTTATTATTTCATTTAAAACAACAGTGAAAGAAACAGAACTGAAAATAAATTTATATTTACTAAAACATATGTCCATGTTTTTAAAAAACTATATATTTTTAATTCCTTCAAGAAAAATTTTATTATTTAATTTTTTACTATAAATTTTAATTTCAAAATATTAAATATTAAAATATAGGAACATTTCTTATTCATTATTTAATTTAAAACAATCGAGAAAGAAATAAAGGTGAACTTTTTTTTTATGTTAACAGCATATTTCTAACTTTTATTCATAGGAAAAATGATAGTTTTTTTTAATCAAGCCCACAAAAAATATTTTTTATGTGAATGAAGTTTAATAAGATGAAGGAAGAAAATCAACATTCAAAACACTTTTAAAAACATTCCGTTTATAATTTTTTTTAAGTACATCAGGGCAAGTATAGAGAATGATTAGAATTTTCAACTGAAAACCTTCCTAGGTTTTCATTTTAATGTTAATCCACTTTTCGTTTCCTCTTACCCTTGCTCCTTCAACTTGTCTCACCGCTATTCATTTTTTTTTTCTTTTTGAAGAAGAAGCGACATATTTAATTTTTTTTTTCCACTTAGCTACGAGTTAATGAAAATCTCAGGCATCTAACAAATGTACAAGCCCGGCGAGATTATTTTATTTGGGTGCTCTTACTTTTAATTGTTCACTACATTTCTCTTACATATTTTCAGGTATCGAGACTGAAGTTATTAAATCAATAAAAACGATTTTTTTTTTTTTTTTTTTTTTTTTTCAAATGATTTATCAAAAATGACAGAATTTTTTTTTCTCGATAAGTTTATTTTTATACATATCGTAGAAAAAATTTGTATAACAGAACACTCGACGCGTCGATTTTTTATTCCAGAGATGGTTTTTATCTTTAATTAAAATAATAATTTCGCAAAATCATGTGACGAGACATTTTTTGATTATATAAATTTTTCTTTTTGCGAATATTGAAGTTATTTATATACGTTTCAGATTTTTTTCTCTTTGATTTTTAGGAAAGTATTTCATATTTTAGTCTTCTTTATACTCAATTGTGAGGTATAACTAACTCGAAAAATATTTGCCTCTTTCTGTAAGTCATTTAATCATTTTTATAAAAAATTGATGGATTCATACAAAAAAATTCACGGAGAAAAAAATTCTGGTAAACTTATCGTACTTGTATGGTAAAGAAATTTCTGGTGGAAGAAAAATTTAATATAGTTTTGGAAATAAAATCAAAATATTCGGTATTTAAACCATTCATGTGATGACGGTTTCCATTCATATTCTAACAATTTGATAACAATTTACCAGAAATTCTGGTTTTCAAAATTATAATTCTTTTCCACACATTTAGTAAAAATGCACAACCAAAAAGTAAATTTACCGAATAAGTAGTTTTAATGACATGCTTTAAGGTATCATGATAAAATTACCAACTTTTACCACATTTAGAAAATTTTAACCAATGATATAAAACAATATTTTAATATTAATTTTAGCAAGATCATTACCAAAGTGCTTCGGTAAAAATTACCGTGATTTTTGGCTTGGCCAAAGAGCCAGAAACATGGCCAATTTTACCATGCTCTGGCACTTTTGACCGCTTTTTTTCTCAGTGTGAAATTGTAAAACTAAATAAGTTTATATAAACATGTAAAAAAATAATGGATTTAATTAAGAAAGTTTAAGTATAATAAGATTCATCAAGATGTACAATAACACAGGAACTAACTATATACATTAATGGTATTAGACCCATTTTTTTAAACTAAAAATTAAGACAAAACTGTCAAACAAGTAACGGATAGTAAAAAAAAATTATCAAAAGAGGAAAAAAATATTGATTTAGAAAATAATATAAAAATAATATTTTTCGTTCTGGTTTTGACACTCGAAAGCAATAGGCGTAACACAGAAAAAATTGAAAAAATTATACGGATTTTCTACATTTAAGTGGTAAAATTTCATTTTATTTGAGTCTAAGGCTTAATTAGTTGTTTTCAAAACTGTAATTGAAGTTTATATATATGTGTATATAAACAAGGTAGGAAATAGCGGCATTTTATGCAGCGATTGGCAGTTTGGGGACAAAGGA